TTTTGCTAAAAAGTGATATTTTTGAATTCTTGTTCAATTGCTTTCATACATATACATTGTAGGTACTACATGTAGACCTCTCTCAGATTTGTTCATTTCGTGGTGATGTCTTCAATTATCTAATTTTGATGAATATTTTTGTCATTTTTGGTGAAAAGTGATATTTTTGAATTCTTGTTGAAAACGGCAAGTCCGATTGCTTTGATACCATACATATTGTTCATTTTCTAATAATATCTTCAGTTCTTTAATTGAAATGTGCATTGCTAACAGCGGATCTATCTCTTCCAACAGGCTGCTTGTTTTGTTTTTGCAACTTGCATATCTTAGTTTACATTTACATGTTCTAATTTTCACAATAGGAGCTATACCATCAGGGCTACAGTTTAGTTGCTGTGATGTTTGCATCAATACCAAACTACAAAGAGTTTTATACAGAGACAGATGTGAACAAAGAAGGGCTGGAATGTCTGAGACTCTTAAATGAAATCATTGCTGATTTTGATGAGGTTGGTTTGTTAACAACTCATAGCTTGTGTCTTAATATATATAGATTATAAAGTGAATATTATGCAAGAAATGAAAAGAGTTTGATAAGAGCATTTGTCTGCACGGCTCCTACATTTTAGTTCAAGCGTAATATGTAATAAAATATCAATACTGTTATGATGATTTCTATGGAAAATATTTTACAACTGGTAACACATTTTAGAGTTTTGAGCATTTAATCATGGATTATACAAATTAATATTTTCTGAAAAAATATTATTGGCAAACTAACATTTAATATTGATTCCACCTCAATAAATTGTACCGGTAGTTTCTACAGACATTTTGTAAATCTTTAACTAAACTAAAACCTAAATTCTTCTTATCAATTCTATTCCAGGATTTTTATGAAAATTTTCTTCGTATAGAAATTTGCTCGATATATACATGCAATTGTATAGAAAAATAACAATTTCTTCTTTTTTTTATTAAGAAAATCTATAATAAAATAAAATTTCCTTTAACTTATGTGGAATTCTCAGACTTTTTTTTTATAGGGATGCTATATATAAATGCAGTAAAACATTCTACTGTAGGAGTATGTGAAATTTGACATTGTGTAACCAGAGAAGCCTTCTTAACAAAAATCCACTGATAATGGGGTTAACATTCAGAAATTACTACATCTAATTCTGAGTAATTCTGTTCAAAATAAAAACTGTATCCTTGACAACCAAAAAAATCAAACACAGCAACACTGTATTGTTATATTCACCGATCAAGTTGGATTTTAGCAAACCAAAGTTGTTCAGAATTGAAAATGGAGCAAATACTTTTGTGAATCTATACTTTCAGCAAGGTTATCTTTTGTTTTAACATTTACAGTCAGTTAATTTAAGATAAATAAATAATTTGAAACATTACTACTAGTATGTTGATATTTACCCTTCCTTGGAAATAATCATTGTTTATATTTTATCTAGGTATTTGTAATTGACAAACATGGCAGCTAATCCTCATTCACACCTAATTGAGCTTGTTGTAGAATCATTGAATATTAATGAAACAATACTTACACAGTGTGTACCATGAGTAAAGAAAAGAGTGTAAACTTGTTATGAGAGTAGAAAAACAGCATTTTATCATAGCAAATGTTAAAATGTTTATTTATTTTCTGAAAAACCAAATGACTACATCTCTACTTTACTGAATCAGATGCTGTTTTGATTATAGGAGTTATTTCTCAGTGTGTGGTTACATGTATATGACCATGGAGGTATAATCTGTTTATACCTCCATGATATGACAGACGTACATTGTATGTATTTTATTATAAATCACTTGATTAGTGCTATTGAATCTTATTTATTGTTAACTATAAACTTAATACACCATATGCATATTCTTGGTTTGTAAAATAACTTACAATCCAATGGTTTCTTTCTTGATGTGATTTCAGTTGTTGTCCAAGCCTAAATACAGCTGTGTGGAGAAGATTAAAACAATTGGCAGCACTTACATGGCAGCAGCAGGGCTCCATCAAAGTGAAGAAAATGATGAACGGCCGCTTGAAAAACTTGCTGAGGAAAATGTTAAAGTGAGCATTCATGTAATATATTTTAATTCACAAAATGAAAAAAAACAATGTTAACACGATATGTTGCAGCATTTGGCTCAGTCTTGATAGTATGTGCTTTTTCCAATAATTTTATTGCAGCTCCTAATTTCTTATTAGTGAACCCCTGGTGTAAAAGGATATCAACAAATCAATAAATAGTAATTAGTAATTAATAGACAGGGTAAACAGTCAGTGTCACCTTACTGGTTGTTCTATTTTACTTAATTTTGTTTGTAAACAGACGTTTTTTTCTTATTCTGCCATCTAGTAGTTGGTTGTAGACACGTCCACGAAGCTATCATCCTTGGTTAGAGGCTTAATTATGCAGGTGCATAACTGATCAAAATACACATTGCCCTGTTGATGATCATTAAAAATCTGAAAGTGGGTTTCTAAAATCAAAAAAATGGGTCTAGAAGTGGATAGAAAGTTTCAGTTCAGAATGCGATAAACTCATAAATGTGAGAATACATCACCTGCATGCACTCATAAATATAGTTAATGGCAGGAGTTCCAAACCGAAAGGGATTTGGGGAGGGGGTTGAACAACTTTTTACTAATCATAGTAAAGGTTAATATGAAAAAAAAAACCAGGCTTTAGCACAATCGCCACAGGGCCTACTCCTGTATGTGTCAGTAATTATTATAATTATATAATGTGTTTATATGAGAATAACTTTTTTTTTTCAGGATGGTGCCAACTCTAAACAGGCCTTATATTATGTTGGTGTATTAAATGAGTTTGCCATGGCAATGATGCAAAAATTAGATATTATTAATAAACATTCTTTTAATGATTTTAAACTCAGAATAGGTAAGTGAAATCTCTTCTCAAACTCTTGAACTTAGTAAAATTGAAAAAGAAGAATATATAAACATTCCAATTAAAGCATATTGGATGTCATTCGTATATTAAAAATGTTTCATAGCTGATCTTTACTCTTATATACTGTAAAATGACTAATTTTCACTGGGTTTAAATTTGGCTGATTTACCGTTTCAGGCATATTCAATGGGTTTTTAATTCATTGTTTTATCATTTATCTAAATGGGCTCTATGCAAAATTTTACATATTCACTGGGTTTTAATTTAGCGCATTTTCCAGTCAGTGAAATAAGCAAAATTAAAGCCCAGTGAAAAATTAACCCTTTTACAGTATATAATATCAATTATCTCTTTTTGTATGTGTTGAGGGTTAAAATATATTGGTCATCTGAACTGAACTGAACTGCCCACTTTTGAATTGGGTGACAAATTTATCTATTTTGTTGCGACAGAAATTAGTTTGCATCCCTTGCAATGATTTATAAGATTAGGGTATGATGTGTGATGAAAATCTCACATTAATTGAACGGTCACACAAAATGAAATGTGATCACAAATTTTCAAGAGGAACCTACATTTTCAGAAATCCTCGCTTGTTTAATTACGTAAACAAAGGAGAATGAAATTATCACTGCATTCAATAAAGAAAAACACATATTACACAGCAAGGACACTATTGAAAACAGTCTGAAATGAACTAGAATCAGTTCTTCCACAGACTCACTAATTTGTATTAGGATTTCGAGAACATCTCACAATTCGTGTGATTTCCCAAATTCATTTGTGACCCTCAATACATATCATACTGTACACCTTCATACTCTCAATTTATGAATTCTTAGTAATATATATATAATCGATTTAAATGTAAGAGAATGTTCCACCACCTCAAATAACACTATATAGTCATAACTTTCATGTGTGTAGCACATATAATTATATTGATATGTTCTTAAAAGTTCATTATTATCCTCTATCATCCTCCTTAGGATCATGCTAATTATGTCAATTGTGAAAGCATGATTCTCTTTGGTTATTTCCAAATCTTCCCTATTTTGCTTTTTGATGCCTTGTTTAGATATACCGGTAGAATATAAAATTTGCAAAATGTTTAATTGTATCTAAAAAAAAGTTACTGTTCATTTTAAGCTGATAAACAATAGAAGATTTCTGTGATTTTATTTATTTTTGCATCATAGGTATCAATCATGGCCCTGTTGTGGCAGGAGTAATTGGTGCAAGGAAACCACAGTATGACATATGGGGTAATACTGTTAATGTTGCAAGTCGAATGGATTCTACAGGGGTTATTGGATGTATACAGGTAAGTAGGAGGGAGGAGGAGTCATTTTATTTGTATGTACCAGTATATTGGATTACGTAGCTGTAGTGACCAAATAAGCTGTGAACTAATAGTACAGAAACGATTAAGTATGATCACAGTAGATATCATCGATTCATAGTCTTCGATTTAATATGAATGAACCAAAATCACACTAACTCAAGGTAACACCAATTTCTCTTCACTGTTCCCTATTAGCTCCCCCTCCCCCAAATATTCATGTCACTGCCTTCATCAGTTAAATCATAATTTTAATGATAATTTCAGAATAAAAATAAAATTTAAATGCTCCTCGTGTGTGTTGATTTTAGAAAAAAAGGACTGAAGCTTTTTAAATATTAAGGTAGCAAGAAGGGAAATTTTCACTTTTTTCTTGATTTTTCAAAAATTGACAAAACGGTTACTTTAGACCTTGATACATCATCCCAGGTTTACAAAAGATCGAAATTGCGAAATAACGTTGCTTAAATTAGTGTTTTAAAATGCTAGCAGAAAAGACTACAACTGCCGTTTCGTAGATATTTGCATAATGTTTATCTTTGGAACGGTTTAAATGGTAACATCTTATCTGTATACTCTGTTGTTGACGATTCTGATATAACGGGCGATAAGCTTCCCGTCGCATACAATGCGTGTTTATTTAACGTCCATTGTCAGCATTATTGTCAGTCGAGAATTATTGATCAATCCTCAAGCAAAGCACTATCAGCCGTACGCATTTGACGTAGTTCTTCTTTATTACTCAATGATACACACATTGTATCCTAGGTGACTGAAGAAACAAGTAAAGTGTTATCAGAACTGGGGTTTGTATGCGAGACTCGAGGTTATGTGTCTGTTAAAGGCAAAGGACAACTAAAAACATTTCTTGTACGCAAACTGGACAAATCTCTATCACAGGCAGCTATTCACTAGTACCGGAATATCCATCATTGGTATGCAAATATCATGGTCCGTTTTACCAATTTTAGTCAACACAAATATTGGATAGATCGTACACTACACTGTATCATGTGCATCGCTAGGAAACAGATGATAGGATCCACATATTTCTTATTCATGGATCGTCTCCAGATTCTCTTTGTTACATATCTCTTGTAATGATGCAAAGCCTCTATTATGCAATCTGTTCAATACAAATATTATTAGTTTCGTCCAATGTCTTGTATTCATCTTTTGGATAACTAAACTTCTGAATGCCCTTTTCATCTTGATCTGTCCTAGTTTCCATGTAGTTTTGAAATGTTTTACGTGAACATGATAATGTCACAATTTATGCAAATGGAGACCATCTATTTGAAAACAAATTACATAATTGAACTATATTAAAGTTAATCTCATGCTTCAAATTCTTATTTACATAATATGTAAACTATGTTTCCTAACCTAGTACTCTGCATATTCACAATAAATAGTCGTATTGATCAATAATAAAATTTACACTTATCATTATTCTGTCAAACCATGCTTTAATATATCTTGTATTTACTCTATTTTTCTATGTTTTTATTGATGATGTAGCTTCTGTAAAACCATAAGCGCTTTTAAACCTGCTCACTGTCAAGTGTGCATGTTTATATGCTGCGCTAACATGGTATGGGGTGATGTCTGCCAATAGACGAGTTTTGGGTTATAGCACTATCAGAGAAGGGGGTGATTTTTAGCTTGTACAGTTTGTTCACTGGTTTTTCTGGTTCCTGGCATTCTGATTAAATGTCATAAGTTGAAACATCTTTACACCAGAGTGGGCAAGTTTCTAATGCAATGACGAAACTCAAAACTTGTCTTATAATTTTGTGTTCACGAACTGTATAGTGTCAGGGGTGTATACAGGGTCCATAGCACCAAAAGCCAAATGATTTCCAAGACTTTTCCACACCTTTACCAAACTTTCTTGCATTTTTCCAAGACATTTTGACCCTTAATTCAGGCCAACATCATCACCAGAGCTCATCAAAGTTCTGAAGATATGATTGTTCCCTGGAGAAAAAATTGAATTAATAACTATGACTTTTCTAAGATTTTTCATTTTTCCTGTAATTTAAAGACAACACAAAGACTTTCCAGACCTCAAAAAATCAAAAGACTTTCAGAGGATTTTTCAATTGCTGTGGACCCTGGTATACCATTTTAATAAAGTGATTGAGAAATAACATCCAATCTCTTCACTCTGACATGTATTATATATCTTTTATATATTGTGTGATATGCAATAAATTAATTAACTGTAGATATATTAATGCTGCTAAGACCAGTTGGATTGAGTTGCAGTGCACCAAATGTAGCACAAACACTGTTAGTTTAATAACAAGCGTGTTGAAAATATTTTATTTATTAAACTTATATAAGTATTTTTAAAGATGTTTTTAATGACTAAATATACAAATGTAGTTTACTGTTTTTGTATCTTGGCACATTTTTTAAAAAATAAATTAATATACAGTTTTCAAATCCTAGTTTGCAATTGAATGTATATATATGCAAGTGATTGAATTGACCATATTTCCTAATCTAGTTATTCCCATTCATGTCGCCACTAGCCATTCATTCACATCAACTTGCACCCTTAGAATAGAGCACAGAGACTCTATTTAAGTCCCTGTTTGGTCGCAGTCCGAAAATGGAACTTGATAGATTGACATCTCTGTGTGCATCCATGCTTAGGCATTCCTGGACTGACTACATTCAAACTTCACTCATACATCATACATAATATTATAAATATTATACATTAATTTGTTTCACAATGGTTATTCAAATGGCGGCCATTTTTGTGCTGAAAAATCAACAAAGTCAAACATATTTGGCATTCCAGATCTCAGCTTTGTACATACATTGGACATTATAGGACCTTGAAGCATGTCATTTTGTTTTTCAAATCTGATTCAAAATGGCCGACTGGCAGCCATTTTGTTTATATCACCAGATCTTTTTAATTTCTTATTTTATTTAAACTTGGTACTTACATTAGACATTATGGGTCCCTGAGGCACTTCATTTTGTATTTCAGATTGGATTCAAAATATTACTAAATGTGGTTCTGACATGCTTTGACTGATTATGTTCAAATTTGATATATTCATTATACATCAAGTCATAGATGTACAAATGTATTGAATTGAATCTCCGATTTGTGTCAAATCAAATGACAAGATAGCAGTTCTGGATTACAAATTGTATACCAACATATACCTATACAATCAGATAGTTGACCTTTGTTGTAATTTGTAGTAGAGGGAATGGCATACCGATTTTGAGTAATTATGTTGGTCTTTGCTCAGCGCCTTCAGTGTTCACAAAGATGTACAGAGCAGTGGTATTTCAACAAAAGTCTCTACAAGGAAGGGGCTAACTCGCACGTGAACTACAACACCACAGAATGAGGTTGCTTACATCATCATGATCCTTTTCATTAGAGCTGCAGTCTCCTTACGACCTGCATGATGCAACATTACTTGTCTTTACACTTGCATAATTAAGCTGTATTCCAGATGGATCCCGTAAACAATCTAACTTGCATACGTGAATGTATCATATTGGGTATCGTATCGAAGTTGTATTTAGCGAAATGCGTGATTTGAAAGCTCTAAGTAACTCCCTGGCATTCTATGATGTAGCCAGCAACCAAGTGAAGTTCTTCGTCATAATTCTACACTAATATTACAACAAAACAATAAGGTCAATTAATGAGTGTCGTATTAATATATATGGCATGATATGCCAGTGATATTCAAGTGAGTTACCACTATGCGAGGCAACTGCCATATATCAATGTGATAGTATAGTATACCTTTAGTATAGTATGTTTTATTTGGCTCGAAATAATGCATTGGATTACATTATCTATGGTCAATAAACATACAACAACAACAAAACAATAAACATCAATAACAAATAAAACAATACGTAAGCAAAGAAATATAAAATATTAGTAGTAATAAAGAAAAAAATAGATATTGTTAGACATAATTTGATGAACAAATTTTCAGAGACTGTTAACAATGAAATTATCATTTGAGGTAAATAATTTTTAAGTAATAATTTGTTTATTATGAACTGAAACCATAGTTAAAAATTATATGCGACCATTCTTAATTTCAATATATATATATATTGAAGAGAATCCTGCTCTGACATAATCCTGAAATAACATAATCCATCGCTATTCAAAATCATAAACCGTCAAATCCACAACAAAACGGACATTCTAAAAGTGACAACAATAGTACAAAACTTAGTTAAATTTGTAAGATGTATGAACAGAAAGGCTGGTACAGTCAAGGATTAACCAATTTCTAAAGAAATTCTGTTTCATACAAATAAAACCTTTTTGTGACATCAATGCTTTGTTGAAATGTGTCTGTCAATCTTGACAAATATGTTGTCAATCAAATATTCTAGTGGTAAGGCCCTTTTTACAAGGAAATGGCATTTTCTTATATGATACACCAACTTAAACAGATATGTTATGTGTCTATAGCCTGGATACACACATTGTCGACTGTTTGAAAACACGTACCGCATGTTGACATTGGTGGATACACAATCTCTTTATTATCATATACATGGTTTTTTTTATTTTAGATTGTTAGAATACACCCAGTTTGTGGTAGATTGTAAGGGCTGACTGGCAGCCATTTATGTCAAACAGTTCATTAAATCAAATCAAATACCCGGAACCGTTTGGAGGGAATGACAAAATAAAAACACGACCACGAGGAAATGCTGCAACCAGTTTTATATGTTATATCTAGTGTAATTTTACGTAATTTGCTGGACTGACGCTACTCCGTTTCACATACGTTGCCTCGTAAAATGTGTGCATTAGAAAAAGTGTACATAACCACATAGAAGGTATATTACTTTTCATCATAATCATAATTGCTTCTTACATATTATTTTTAATCCTTCACAATGAAATTTTACTAACAAAGAATTATAACAATATCTGTTTATTTATGGTAAGATGGATGTCATATTTTTATTTTGACATTTTTAGCTGTCCGGGCCCATTTATTTAACATCATCGTATATAAGTGCATGAATGGAAATAAATTCTCCTTGGGATCACGTTGCCACATGTGGCGCTATGGGTGACGTCTGTTAGGAGTTCAAAGGGTCCTTGCGTTCAAAGGGTCCCATGTCCCAATGAACAGAAGCTTAGATGGTACTGCATAGGTACTGTCTGATAGCATATTTAATTCATGTTACTGCCTGCTCACCACAAATGCAGGCGTTTTACACATAAACTTCACTTTCTGAAGTTGTCTAAAAGGAAGATAAATGAAATTTGAAGACATTTGAAAAGAAATATGAATACTTATACAAAATCTGTTAATGTTAAATATGTAAATTAGACAATTTCCATATTCATTCTTTAGTAAATTGGGATTATCTCATGAAAACTCAACGGATTTGAACCAAATTTGATACGGGTGCTCATTGATGTTATTTGCAGGCAATATTACTATTGGGTAATTTACATATGTAAATTAGCCAATTTGCATTTTTTCACTAAGTTTGGATTCATTGATCAACACTCAACAGATTTGAACTAAATTTGGTAGGGATATACATTGACATCATTTCTATGGCCCCTACTTTTAGAGATAATTTGCATATGTAAATTGCCTCATTTGCACATTACTAAATATGGATTATCTCAACAACTCGACAGATTTGGACGAAATATGATAGGCACATACATTGATGCAGTCTGCATCCATACTACTAGTGGTAATTATCTGAATATGCAAATTAGAATACTAATGATTGTTTAATTTGGTATTTGGTACAACTGTAATTTTTTTTAGCTTCAGTACAAGATTTCTTTTTTCTGGTCTCAATACCCTTTCTAAGATTTGTTAAACTTGCGATATTACGAGGTTTTAGAACGCCAAAAAAAATGATGCTTT